CTTGTGAGGATTGAGCGCGTTTGCAGTTTATAGTATCCACATGATACTCCTGTGTGTTTCCTATACCAGAGGATTCCCAATTCACAGCATTTAAAAAGAAAAGTATCGTCTCCCGTTTCTAACTGGGAGCTCAGCTTAAAAATCACACTGCTGTGGAGCACTGAGGTAGGGAGCAGAAGAGTAGGGCCTTTCAGCTATTATGTTAGCTTCCAATTTAGAAGTAGACAGTTATCTCCTTTGTTTGGGGGATATTGTTTGATGTTTCTAGGAGGTGTATCTTTAAGGAGAACATCTGTAGGAAAGATTAGTATAGAAAGTGTTGAGAGGTAGTATTTTATAAAGGGAGCATTTGTATAGGCCTATACATCACGGTTACTTCTTGAGTAAGCATCTACTAGCTTTCTGTGTGGACATGTATTTATGGTAATTGCAAAATTCTTAAATAATTTCAAGTCCTAAATTTGTCTCAAAGGCCACGGGAAATGCAAAAAGCACTGACTAATGCTTTCTCATATTTGCAGTCGATATAAGAGTGGATCCACTGCTCCATCTACTGGAATTCAAAATCCCCAGGCAGAGCTGCATGCTATTGAACGCATCGTGTGCTTTGGCACAGCTTTGTGAACAACCCTTTGCAGAAGGTTCAAAATGTTTTTTATTTTTCAGTTGGTGAATTGATGGAGTAGATTTCCCTAGAGAAATTTTGTAATATTTTGATAATTTTACCCCTCTTAATATTTTTTCCCCCACTTTTATTGTTTGAAGGTTGACCACATTGTTTATTTTGGCAAGATGCCATAATATATGAAGTATAGAACATGTACAATTCTTAGCCTGTTTACGTATTTCACACTCATACATCTTCTAATATTGTGTGGTTGGATGATTCCTCCTAAGAACTCCTGTGAAGAAAGAGTAAACCTTCAAGTTAAAGCATTCAGCATCTTAGTTTTCTCTTGCAATGAAGTACATCACTTAAAATTATTTTGAAGATTACGCAGAGGCTTATTTTATTTATTTATTGTTTTTTTATTCACATTTCTGCAATATCTTGGTGCCCAGCAAACCTATTTCCATTTGATCAACTTCTGAAATTGCTAATATGAAGGAAAATGTCTTGTTTGCACTTTGTCTCACACTTTGCCTGTTTCTCATTTGTGTTTGTTTCAACATTGGAGCTGTAGCCAAGTGTTTGAGGAAAAGCAGATCCTGAAATAACCTTCCATTGCTCTGGCTTCAACTAAGTGTTTTAAAAATTGTTTACTTGATTTCTTCCAGTGTATCATACTTTGTCTCGTATGATACCATATGCAAAATGACTCATCAAAAAGCCATCCCATAAAAAGCAAAATTTGAACTTTTATCTACTACAGCAGTTTCAGTATTATTTGGGTTTTAGAATTAAAATACATTTTAAAAGTAGTGGTTTATGTATTTACTGTGTTAAGTTACTGTATTAGCAAACAAATACATGATTAGAATAAAACCTAATGATTTTTTTGTTTTGCAAGATACATGCATCATTTGGAACATAAATATTTTTTTTTTTAAATGAACAATAATTTCAAAATGAATGCAAAAAGTATATATTTATTATTCTGGCTGGTTTGATCCACGGTGACTCGAGTAGTTGGATTTTGACTTCCGTATAGAATAGAATACCATGGAGTATTTTGACTATTCACATAATATTACAATGGTGCAAAATATTTTTCCTCTTAAATGAGGAGCCTGACATAACTGGAAGTCATCCCAGAGATTCTGTCTGTCTTTTTCCAGGATCCTTCTTGTCTGTTTGACTTTGTGCTAGTATTTTAACAAGGCTCCAGTTTTTTTAACAGGGTTTTGTGGTAGATCCTAGATTGAACGTGCAGGATCAGAATTGCTGTGATTGTTGTAGAGAAGTCCACTTTGGTTGAAAGATTAGTCTGGAATGACATAATGACCTTGAAAAGGTGTGTTTCTTTGCTGTTTTCTTTTTCCTTTATCATGGCTGTTAAGATTTATGTTGGTAGGGATGAGAATGTTGTATATAGAAAATTAAAGGTTTAGTAGAGAGTGAGTATACAGCTGTGCAGAGAATAAGAATGTAGCTGAACTGAATTTCACTCTGTAAGGGTTACAGCTATGAAGTGGTAAGCACAGTGTTTGAAATATGACGACTGAACAGAAGCACTTCCTATTTCGAAAATGTTAGGACACAGATGGCATTTTATAAACCATGTGCAATTAAAAAAATAAAAATAAAATTCTTATGTAACTAATGTCTGAGGGTATCGATATATTAAAGTATGTATTATTTTTTTCTGTATTTCAAGTAGGATTGTCATTTTAACTCAGTGCCAAGCTTTGTCACTTAACACTGTCCTGTACATGCAAAGAAGCATACATATATACATGTACACATATGTGGATGTTTGTTCTCAGAAATGTCCTCTGATAGCCTTTGTATACTTAGAAAGAATGGTATATATTATAATGGGCTTATACTTCATTATAATGAGCTTATGCATTTTTATAATGGGCTTATATTTTATTATAATGAACTTTTATTTTGTGTGAGGATTTCTGCTGCTTAGACAATAGGAGAAGAGTTGACAGCTTCTTTGTGTTCTTCCTTCAAGAAGCAAGGAAGAACGAATGAACGCCATTTATGCTAGCTGTTTTTACAGGGAAAGTATTCTATTTAAAAGATGTTACCACCTGTATGGTACCATGGGTCGGTTGATAGGAATAATCTCTTATTATTTAGACACAGACTTCTTATTTCCATTGGAATTACAGTTCTGTGCTTTTTGCTTAGTTTTCTACTTCTTAGTTCAAATAATTCCTTAATTATAGAATAGAATGGCTTGTTCTACAGTGAAGTGATACGATGTGGGCATGAGAGTGAACAATGGGAGTGAATAATGTTTTGCCTGAGCATAAAAAAGTCTATAGCAATTTAATATATTTAAAAATAATAATAATCTTACCTACTGCAGCTGTAAAATTGCATTCTAAAATCTCTTTTTCAGTAGTTATGTCTGATTAAAATACAAGGAAGAGCCTTCACAATCTGTAAATGAATATGCTTGTCTGGTGCATATGTGCATATCCGCACACATCTGCAAACCCGCCAAAAAATCCCATGATATATCAGTGGTTAAACAACTGGGATAGATTTGTTTGGAGGGAGAAGGAGGGTAGGGAGGGCTGCATGTGGCTTTCTGACACATGTTTTCAGTGGGTTGAGTTGTGGTAGATGAGCAATTTAGTGTAACATAAGCTCCTGTGCAAGTTGGCAGGGCCTTGGCTCTTCTGTACCGTTGGCTGCACTCTTGCTCTTATTGTTTACTTTACATTTCAGTGAAATACAACAACTGGCCTTGCATCAGTCTGTTTAGTGGATACAAAGCTACTTTGATAATCTGTGTCTGTTCTTGTACCATCAGCTCTGTCCCAGTAAGACTGACATTCAAATTTGTGTTTCAATTGCAAGACCTCAGCATCATACAGCTCAGGTTTTAGCTTGTCATCAAAAATCCCCAGTGAGTTCTATAAATTAGTGACTGTTTTCAAGCTGTGCCTCCTTTCATAAACGACAAAATTGCTTATTGATTCCTGATGCTTGTGACTCCTTATATTGTGGCTGCTTGGCAGTGCATGTTCAGATTAGAGCTATGCTTGCTTTCAAAGAAAAAAAAAAATCAAAGCAGAAACTGCAGTTCAATGTCTAGTCACAAATAATCTCTGAATTTACTCTTTACCCTTGATTTTCCAATAATATGCCATGTATGCAGTTTCATTATTCCTTAAATGCTCAGTATCTATTTGAATATGCATACATGTGTGTATACATATATAATACATACTGCGTAAATATATATACTCTTCATAGGCATTTGTTATATCCACGTAAAGCACATTAAATTGCTTTTTAGATGAATGAATTTGTTTTTGTGCTTGGCATACAAATATTGTTTAGATAAATGACTTGATTTTATTCCTATGTGCTGAATACTTGCTGCTGAGGAAGTTTTGCTTAGGCATTATACCTCTTGTTCCTCTGATCATACGTCACCTGGTTTTATTGCTCTCTCCATGGTCCTGTCTCTCGCTACAGTAGTTTATTATAACAAGAACAAAAAGGAGATGGAACTGACATATATTTCTTAAAGATTAATTTTCTTCCAGTGTATCTGCTGAGCCAATAATGCTTTTATTACTTAAAATTTGCCAAATGTCTGTGTATGAAACACATTTCACTAATTTCAAAGAAGTCCAAAACCATCTAGTTATAAGTAAGAAAAATAGGCTTCAAGAACGATTTCACAGAACAGTTAAAAGGAAAGCTTCTAATTCAAATCTAGAAACATGATCACATATTTTGACAGTAAATTCCAAGAAGTTAAAGTTCTCTAGGAAGAATGGGTGTTGGTGCATATTTTAGCTTGACTGTAACACTAGCATTTTGTCTGCTGTAAGATAATACGTACCATCTTTAGTGGGGGAATATAAAGGAATTAAAAATCCAACTGAACACGAAGATTGGAGACTTCAAATCCTGTTGTTTCTTGCAAAAATGAGTATTTAGGAAGCCAAAATAATGTTTTGCTTTACTCAGATCATAAAAAATCAAGTCTATTCTGTGAAAGCGTACAGTTTATAAGACTTGTCCCCAGAACTTACAGAAACAAAGGACTTTGGGGTGAAATGTTTGTATATCATGTAGATATATACTGTTACCCAGTATGATGTGCATTGCATTATGTATAAGATTATATATGTCACATGTAAAATGTTTTGAGCCATGTCTTTGCTCAATTGCTAGGATTTTGGAGATACAGATCAAACATCACTTTGAAAATCTAAAAAAAAAATGTTCAGCACTATATATATGCAACAACTTGCAGCTATACATAAAATAGATATTGGCATCTGGGGTGTTTTGGCTGACTTAAAGCTTGTTCAAATAGACTTTGAGGCTGAATCATTTCTCTCTCTTTTTCTCAACCCAGATTAGTGTATTGGCTGCGAAGAATTGCAAACGCTTCGTGCCCTGATGGGGGACTCAGGATCCAGACGATCAACTCTAGTATCTCGGTTGCCAATATTCAGGAGAAGTATTAGCCGGAGACACGACTCCCTTCCTTCCTCACCTTCCTCTGCTAGTGCCGTGGGTGTCCACACCTCCTCCCCATCCAGCACTAACTCCAGCTCAGGGAGCACAGGCAAGCGCCGGAGTATTTTTCGGACTCCTTCTATTAGCTTCCATAACAGGAAGGGGAGTGAACAGAAGCCTGACTCCACCAGCCAAAATGTTAACATCTCAAATGGTGCCCAGTCCTCCTCTCTCAGCACTTTTCAAAAACTGAGCCTAGACGAACACATTAAAAGTAGAGGAAAGCATTCAGTTGGGTTTGGCAGCTCACGTAGCAAGAAGATAACAAGGTCTTTGACAGATGATTTTGAAAAGGGAAAGGAGCCCTCAGCTAATAAGAATGTCTTTATAAATTGTATAAGCTCTGGGAAAAATGAGGGCGATGATTCTGGCTTTGCAGAGGAGCAAAGCCGATGCTCTGTCAAACAATCCACACGGAAACTTCTCCCTAAATCTTTCTCATCGCACTACAAGTTTTCCAAACCAGTTCCGCAGAGTCAATCCATTTCCTCTGTGCAGCAGTCTGGATGCGTGCTGGAGATTAAATCGTATGTTGAAAGTGAACCGGTGATTGCCAGGTCCTCTTCTCCCTGCTCGGCTGAGACGACGGAGTGCGTGGGAAGCACGTTGCAGTCCCCACTGCTCTCGGCCGACCTCACGGCTGCCCAGACGCCCTCAGACTTCATAGCCTTGACAGAGGATTCTGTTTCGGAGGTTGATGCTCTGCCCAGCAGTGGGAATGGAGTGCTGCTGGCAGAGGATTTTGGCCACAATGTCTCTACCTCTCAGATCTTCTTTAATCCTGCTGCTGGTCCGGTGAGGGGAACAGATTACGTGGAAAGTACGTGCCAGTCTGCTGGTGGTGTATCTCCTGTGAGCCGCACAAGCTTTTGTAGTGTTGAATCTAATACCTTATTCAAAACCTCAGCTGCTAATCAAACAAAAGTATCATTGCAAGCCAATGAACTATGTATTACAGATACCAGGCACATAGGAGAAGTTAACTCAGCAAAGACAGAGTTAGAAACCTTTGGGTTACAGCACAGAGAAGAACCGGTGATGCACTCTCCAATGGCACAGGGGTTGAGTAGGGACCAAGATGAAAGCACTCTAGCTAAGCACACAAAAGAAACAGTTCCTGTAATGGAGTCTAAGATTATTCAATGTTCTGAACCTCAGTCCCTTAAAACGCAACTGGGATATGAAACAAACCATCCTAAAGGTATGTATTCCGCTTTTTCATTGTGAGGTTTGATGGCTTGGGGGATGCTTTTTTGTTGTTGTTGTCCGTAGTTCTTTTGTAAGAATTGTTTGGTCATGAAGTGTTTGTGTACTTAGAAGGATCAAAAGTTAGGAATTTTACTCTCCTTCCAAGATGATGCTTAATTCAGAATTATAAAAGGAATAAAACAAAATGCTTTGAATTTTGAGTTGATGTTTTTCAGTGTAATAATAATCATCAGTGCTGTTGGTCACTCTGTTTCCTTCTGATAGAAAATGAATTAAGAAAGAGTATTGATTCTCACCTCTTGTTGAAAGCTGAAGCTGGTATTTTTGAGGCATACCTATTTTGGACTTGAACCAAAGAGCTGCATTGTTTGAAGAGGAAGGATTGCCAGAGAATAAACTTCCTTTAGTCTGGTTATGAAAGATAACATACTTTTATCTTATATTGATCTGGGTTCGTGACTCTCAGATACATTACAGAGCAGCTTGGACAAGAGCAGAGGACAAGAATATATTGCTGTTTCCATCTGAAATAGCACTGCGCAAGTTCTTACTACATAACCTATGAAATATAGGAAGTTCACTACCAAGTAAATTTCACACTGTGTCTTTAGCTTATAAAAATGAGTTTGGAAATATTAACAAGAATAAGTGGAAAGGCTGTACTTTGAATATTATCATCTGTAGACATGCAGATCTTCATCTTCCATCAAAGACACCCAGCCTTTGATTGAAGGACACCTGCCAAATGACATTTAGCTCTGCCAGTTTACTTTCTCAACTAACCTGAAGACCAATGCTTTGTTGAATAATCCTGAGCCTGTATCTGGTGGGGCCAGATTTGTGACGGTTACCAAAAACGCAATTATGTTGTTAGTATTGAAAGAGGAATGAATGCAAATTCATATGAGTCCATACCCATCCTTTTGCTTGGTGATGTAGTCATGTAGATTATAAGCAATCGGAAGCAATCTCACTTTTGGAGTTACTTGTCTCTGCACAGTATTAGTTGCATATCTTGTAAATAAATAGCTATGTATAGTCAAATTAATCCACTAAATTATCTTTCATGAGAAGAAAACTGTTTGCCTCAGAACATTAGTCAGCTGGGACAAAAATATTTCCATTTATGTATATTATCTGTCCGGAGCACTTTGGTTGGTCTTCTTTGCAACTTTGGCTCATCTGTGAATAAGTTCATGCTTTTAAATTTAATTTACTGGAGTGGAGTAGTTGTAGAGCAGACCAGTGAGCAGCTCAGAGTGATGTTTGGAAATACACAGTGTGTTTGAAACTCATGCACCAGCAGCTATATACTTAATCTTCATGCCTGTAAGGCAGCTGGAGTTGAAACTGCAATAGAGAGATTTTAGTAAATAGGCTTGGTATTCACAGAAACACTAGAGCTAATGTTGCACTATTTAAAAGTTGATGATTAATTTTTATGGGTTTATACAAGTAGCTCTATTCCAAATGCATTTTTTTCAATTTGTATAGTGAAGAATGTATTTAAAATTAGAAAATTGGAAAGCAAACATAGGGACTGTTGGAAAAAAGCATAAAATCCTGCCATATTAAATGAAAAGAGTATAGAAAAAGTTTGTGGTGTTCAGAAAGGTATAGTATAAGTAGTTATATATTTTGCCAACAGGCTGTTCGGACCAATTGGTTTTGCTATAACAGTATTTAAAACCAGGTGCAAATGTAAAATATTTTTGTGCATGTTTTGGCAATAGATACTTTCTTTTCCATGGTAAATCTCATAGTAGATTTTATTGATAGATTACAAGGTTTGTCATGTCATACATTTTTTAATATATGCTTATATATTTTTAAGTGGTATGAACCTTTTTGAAAAGCCATTGAGGAAATGTTCTCTTGCAAAAGGCAAAAGAATGTTTTTTTTTTTTTTTTTTTTTTAATGTTACATCTATTATGCTATCATGTTTTTCTCTTTTCCTCATCTCTAAATTTTCCTTAACACTTCAAAATGTAATTTTCTCCTCTTTTCCAATATGTTATTGTTTAAAAGGTGTTGGGGACTGGGATGCAGCCTGAATGCTGTGCTTTGAGAGCACAGATACAGAGCTGATGTGGGAAGGCCAAAGAGAAACTAAAACCTGTATGCATCAGGATGCTATGCGCTGGAAACAAAACTGTGAACTGGCCCTAAAAAAAAAAAGGGCTTGGCTTAGGACAGGATAAGGCAGGCTGGGTTTTTGCACCATAGGAATCAGTGATAGTTTCTCTGGTGGATTTTACTGTGAAGAAATTCCTAAGTGTCCAAGAATGAGAGGAGAAAGGAAGGAAAGTGGCAAAAATCCCACTGGATTTGTTAAAGAACTGTGGGCTGGGCTGTAGCATGCTGAGCACGTGAGTCAGCAGGAGCTGAGCAGTGAGCAGGTAGGCCCAGATTGCTTTGCCTAGCTAAACAGGATCTGCTTTCTACAGAACACCTAAGAAATTATTCTTACTTTTTTACGATTACTATTCAGTGGTAAACATTTAAAGCAAAGCGCTGTTCTTCCTAAGAAAATTTTTGTAGAGAATAATTCTCTGTAATGATTGGTGATTCTTGTCTATTTGTAGTTGATCTTGCCAATAGCTTCAGTCCGTACCGAGATGGCAGATTTATTGAGAAGCGACTGAGGTCCTCTTCAGAAGGTACTGCTGGAAGCAGTCGGCTGATCATAAAACCAAAGGATGGAAATTCAGAAGAGCTTAACAGCCTACGGAAGCAGAGAGCAAGCTCATCTTCTTCAAAAATGAACAGCATGGTGAGTTTATTCTCATATACGTATTTGTTTGTTTGTTTTTTCCACGATAAGCGTAACTATACTAAGCATCGACTTCACAAGTAATAGATGGTAATAAAAATTAAAAAAAAAAAAAAAAAAAAAAAAAGCCAGCTCAGGCTTCCAAAATGTGGCAAAATGTGGTCTAGGCTAAGCTACAGAGATTAAAAAACAAAAACAAAAAAAACAAAAACATTTGTTTTCCACAATGTGACACTGAAAAGATTTGTCTATTTTCTGTGAGGAGGCTGAAGTCATGCTTTGTTGATTTGCCTGGGATATTACAAGATTCAGACCAGAAGTTTTGTAGAGAGGAAGTTGTTGGTGAAGAGGCTCATTATGGAAAGCTGGTCACAAGGTTCAGTGCTTTCACACTGAGCACAAATTAAGGATGAAAGGAAAGGTTCACTTCTGAGAACCCTTGAGAATGCCTAGGACTAGGAAATCTAAGACAGATCAGATCACTGTGGGAGAGTACTTCTGAAACCTCTTCTGGTGAAATAATAATAGAAGTAACTGACTGACAAGTATGTGCCTTCCTATACCCAGCAAGAAAAAATGTTTTAAGATGAGTGTAATTTATACATATGCATATGCTCTCTAGTGAGAGAAAAAGAAGATACTAAGGTTGAACATTGACAGCAGTGGTATCTACTCTTCAGTTTATGGAAATCACTAAAACAAGTTTTACAGTTATTATGAGTTTTAAGTATTTTATTCAACATGCTAACTGTAAAAAATTTGCACTCATATTTGAATAGTGTTTACCACTGAAAGTAAAAAGCTGTAAGTTTTTTACCCTTGTCCAGTGCTGTTAAACAGATATATAAATAAATGTGTTTTTTTCCTATTAAGGTTCACTTAATAGCAATTGTATTATAATGCTTTAGGACCAAACACATTCCTAAGAGACTCAGATGTGAACACAACTGCCTTTTCTAAGATAATTTTTTTGCAGTTTTTCAAAGATGTGAAACTGATTGTTGCAAACTGACATTAGATTTCCACAGCATGTTATTATGAAACAACATGTTCTTTTGATGTGGTTTTACAGACTAACACAAAAACTCAACAATTAATACAATTACTTAGGTAATGTTTATGTCTCTGTGCTACCTTGTCTGCCTTTAAAGGTAAGGAATATCCTATCTCTCTCTCACCCAAGAAGCCAAGGAAGGCTAAACTTGTCTTCCTGTGTCAGATTCATCCATACTGGTTCTTGGTTGGTAATTTTAAAATAGGTCCCTAGATACTGAAATGATTTAGCATGAATTCTCCTTAGGAAAACTGTGTCAGGAAAATGTGATTTGAGGTTTTCTCAAAAGCATGTGAAATTTGTCTTTGGTCGTGGTAAATCTCACCCACATGTAAGTTAGTCAGCTAAACCCTTGCTCATGTTCAACACTGCTCTGGATGGCAGGAGAAAATTACATCAGTACTGAAGGTATTCATGCTATGTCTGGCCAAGGTAAACAGGAAAACAGGTTTCCTGGTTTTCCAGGTAAACTGGAAAACAGGTTTTCCAGTTGTACCAGTGTCCTTAAGTATTAGTCACTACATCTGCCTTTTTCCCTCTTTTCTAGATTGCTGCCAGCTTGTCAGACGTGGTAGTAATGTAAAGCAAAATTTATGTCAACAACAAAAAAAACAAACAAAAAAAAACACACACCTGTTTTCTTTTTTAATAAATCCACTGAATTATTACACACAGAGATGCAGGATGGAAATAAAGATGTAGAATGACTAAAAAGTAGAAAAATAATTTGTGCTATTAAAGTGTATAGGTACAACATGTTTATTCAGTAAGTTCATATCCAAATATCACTGAATAATATCTTATTTTTCAAAACCAGAACACTGTGACATTTGAAGCTCATGTTTCCATGTAGGCATACAGGGCATTATGCAGGCATAGTTTCTGCCCTAAAAAGCTCATTAACCTTGGCTCAAGCCTTTAAATACTATTTGGGTCATCAGGCCCAAGCTATTACGCAGATCTTTGTATTTATTTAAATACTAGACAGAACCGATGTATTAACTTCATTATATTTAGTCCTGTATTAACGATGCAACTGGGAAGTGACAACACTGTAGCAACTGGAAAAAAGCAAAGTGAACATGGGATGGTTTTTATTTTATTTTTTGTTCATGTTTTGCGTATGAAATCCACATTTTTCGTTGTTTGTTTTAACTTTCCTTAGCAATATTGTCCACAGATTTGCTAGAATTTGTTTGTGCTTATTTGTATTTCGGTCACAGACCAAGAACTTCACCCTCATGAGTGAAAGTAAAGTTCTTCCTGTTTTCCCCCCAATAAATGCAGCTACCATCTTTCTATACTAAGAGAAATGCTAAATGAAAGATTTTATATTTAAAAAATGAGATTTAATGGGAAGGAAATAAAAACACGGAAGGCCAAAAAAATAGCAGAAATTCAAAAAAGGAAAAGGAATTAAAAATGAAACAAATTAAATGTTCATAATAATAATACAAAGCTAAAGAGAAAAAAGGCCTCTTCAAAGTACTTGTCACAAGCAATTAATGTTTAACACCACAGTAGCAGCCTGTTGCCAGTGAACGATCGTAATGAAGAATAAATACTAGGTAAAGAATTGGAGTTGCTAAACCAAGTATTATTAAAAACCTTAACCTAACTTTCTTGTTTGCCTAGAAAATCATTAATCACTCTTCTGTAGCTATTCATATTCATTTTCACTTCTGGAAGAAAATTAAAGGTTCATGTGAGATTCCCTGGGTTTCCCTGAGGAGGGCAGCGTTGCTATTCAGTTTGCTTCTGTGGCACCAAGCAGTAGTAGCTGTGGATACTGGTATTCTGGCATTATCCAGAAGTCATGTTATGATGACTGTCAAATACCCTTTCCTCACAAACTGAAGAAAGTCTTCCAAGACTGTTTGCTTTCTTTCTTGTTGGCATAAAGCATGGGATTCTTCTGCTGACTGCCTGGAGGGAATCAGGAGCCAGATCTGAGGGGATACCAGATTTTTACAGGAGATGAAGAAAAAAAACAAAACAAAACAAAAAACACAAACAAACAAAAAAACAACACACAAACAAACAGATTACATTTGAGAAATTGTTCTTTCTCCTAAAGAATTCACTCAGCATAGTATTCTTGTTTGATCAGTACAACAGGTACAATAGGTAAAAGCTTAAATAGGTGGATCTCCCACTGTATGTGTAAAACCTATAAAGAGAGTCACCAGCTCCCCAAAGAGTGGCATTATTTACTTTCAAAACCTCGCAAGTGAATTAATCTTGATGAGAGCAATGCAAATATCGTGCAAGGAAAAAAAAAATTAAAATAACTTTGCAAATGTGCCAACTTTATAGCAATGTAAATAATGAACTGAAGCAGATGCATGAGATTAACTGCTCAGATTACTTATTATGTGTGTTTTCATCAGAATAAACAGTTTTGAAGCAGTCATTCTTGCAGTGACTGATTTATGCCACAAGATGTCAGTATTTCACTAAAAATTGTTTTAAACTTCAGTGTTCCCTAGTTACACAAAAGGTGAAAACTGAAATTCAGGACAGATTTTTTGGAACACTTTGAAACTGATTAGTCCGTGCAGGATAATAAAATATTTTCAAATGCGCATGGCTAACATGGATGAGAGGTTTAAAGAGGTTCATATTTCTATAGAAAATCTGGTCATTAAAATGTTAAGTCATCAGTTACAACTTTAAATATTTAGACATAAGATAGAGACAATTGGCTACGGCTATCCTTCTTATTCTCTATTTAAGTTCCCTTTCTTTTCCAATGTGTAAGATTGGAAAATATAAAATACACAAGAAAGAAAGAAGGAAGGAATTATGGAAAGGAGGCAAACAGCCTGGTAAAAGACATGAATGACCTGAAATACGCAGACCTGCAAGACTAATGGAAAGAACATAAATCTGGGAAGTTGAAATGTAAGAAAGAATTAGAACAACCACACTGAAAATTATGATCAAACCCCCAAATCAGTGTGAGTAAATTCTTTAAGAGCATCAGGGAACAGATTACCAGGTAAAAAATAAAGAATTAATGTGCTGGAATACTTAAAATTAACAGTAGAAATTGAGGTGAGTGTAAGCAACAAAATAATCCATCACTTTTAAGAGTAGTATTTGATGTGGAAATGTGACTACCCAAGATATCACCTTTACCAGTAATAAAAGACAAAACCGAACAAATGAAACAAACAAACAAACCAAAACAATAACAAAACATGGAAATTGCTGTTTAAAAAATAATAATAATAAAAAAGAAAGTGCTGATAAAGATTTTGAAAGGCCAACTTAAATTACAGTCAGTTGTTAAAACCAAGTAGTCCTAAAGGGAGATGTGGATGAAAATAGGTGTACATTGTACAAGTTTTAAAAAGAGAAAGTTCAGAGGACAGTTGGAGTTCTTAGACCACAGCGACCAACATGTGAGCTATTCTGTGCTACAAACGTGTTTTCATTCTATCTAGAAAGAATAGAAACGTGGCTGTATGTGTGCAGTGGAATGAGACAATACACTTATGTTTGGCTCTGACTGATCTGCCTTTTTGTCTCTGTGGCTTCTGCATTACACAAAAAATATCTGGCCTTCTTTGCAACTGCTCCCTTGTACACACTTACCTATCAGCATATGCGCTGCCTCAAATGGACCTAATTTTTCTGCTTTTTCCTCTCTCAGTGAGGTAAACATTACTACATTTACTCGAAGGTAAACATTATCAGTGGTCTTTGCATTCTGCAGGCCCCCATTTTTCTGGGCTTTCCCTTGGGCACAGTTTTTTCTCCAGTTTCTCATATTTCAATGTTGTCTGAACATTGCAAGTTTTTCATTTCTGAAATTGAGATATGAGTTTTCATCCTTGTAGGTAAAAAAAATAAATACGTTTGCCCTCTGTTCTGCATTCTTCTTTAGCCTCAGGCAAGGCAGCCTTGCCTACTTGTGTCAGTCCAATTAGAACTGTACAAT